CCTGGAGAGGGAGGGATATGGGCTAAATCTTGAAGGAAGAAAGGGAAATCAGTAACTAGAAGAGGAAAGAACACTGTGGGCAGTGGTGACAGTGAAGGCACTGAGTCATATACTGTGTGAGGGACAATAAGTAGGCCAGTCTAGGTGAGGTAGGAGAAGGGAGTAAAGTGTAAGAAGACTGGAAAGGTAGGAAGGTGCCAGACTGTGAAGGGCTTTAAATACTAAACAGAGGATTTTATATTATTGGAACTTGTAGGAGCTTCTGGATGTTTAGTAAGGAGGGGATGAGATGGTCCAACCTACACTTTGGTAAAAATCAATTTAGCATGTAAAAGGAAGAGAGACTGGAGTGGGAGAGACTTGAAGGAGGGAAATCCATTAAATGACTATTGCAAAAATCCAAGTTTAAGGTGCCTATCTAGAGGCAGAGGCTGTGTGAATAGAGGGAAAGGGACATTTTACAAGAGATCTTGTGAAGGGGAAAATAACAAGACTTGGGAACAGATTGGATATGTGGAGATCAGTGTTGAGGATGACAACAAGCCAGGGTGACTGGGAAGATGGTAGTGCTCTCAAAAGCAAAATTGGGAAGAGAAGGGTATGGGGGTGGGGGGAAAGAGAATTTGTTTTAGAAATACTGAGTTTGGGGTGTGTACTGGGCATCCAGTTTGAAATGGCCAGTAGGCAACTGGAAATGAAGGAATAAAGCTCAGGGAAGAGGTCAGACTGGATATCTAGAACTCAACTCATCTCAACAGAAATGATACTTGAACTCATGGGAGATGAAATCACCAAATGAAATTATAAAAGGAGAAGAGATAAGGGCCCAGGACAGAGTGCTGGAGAATGCTCATGGTTAGTAGGTATGATCTGGATGAAGAACCAGCAAAGGAGCTTCTGGGCTAAACGCCCTGAGGAAGCTATCTAGACTAGGTGCCTCTGTTTCTTTTCCTCTCAACAGTTTCTAAACCCTATGAAATCTGACTTCTGACTCTTAGGATTAAACTGAAACTTCTCTCTCCAAAAGGCAGAACGAATGGCTTTATTGCACTCCTCACCCTTCCTGACCTCTCTAAAACCACAGACACTGTTGATCACATCTTCTCCAACATAATCTCTCAAGTTTTCATGATTTTCCTCATATTTGACATCCTACTTTTGCCAGTTCTTGATTGGGATCATGTTTACTAAACTTGGGTATCCCCCCACAGGGTCTTGTACTGGGCTTTCTTCTATACCAGATGTCCATAACCCTTTTTGTATCCTGGACCCCTGTGGCAGTCTTATAAAGCTCATGTACTCACCTATATTCATAATTGAAGGAAATACCAAATTTCAGTTAGAAATTAGTGAAAACAAATACGGAATTTCCCCCCAAGCTTGCAGGCTTTTTGAAATCTATGCCCAGACCCTTGGGGTGTGTGTGTGTGTGTGTGTGTGTGTGTGTGTGTGTGTGTGTGTGTGTGTGTCCCCGTGTGCACAAGCCCACACTCTTTCAGGTTAAGAATGTCTGTTCTACTGTATATGATCTCACCTAGTGATCTCATGAACTTTCATGGCTTCAATGATTACCTGTACGTAGATAGTTCTCAGTTTTACATATATGGAGTCTCTCCTGAGCTCCAGTCCCCTATCAGCAACTGGCTTTTAGGTATCTTTTATAAGCAACACAAACTCAACATATCCAGAAGAGAATTCATGACCTTTCCTTGTAAATTCTCCTCTTTCCCCAAATTTCCTAATACTGTTGAGGGTACTACATACTTCTAGTCAACCAGGCTCACAATTAGGTATCATCTATGACTCTGCATTCACTCCATCCATACAGTAAAAACCCTAGCAAAGGTGCTCGTTGCCTCTTACCTAGACTCTTACAGTAGCCTTATTAGTCTTCCTACCCCCTACTTTTGGTAAACTTTGGTGGCTCCATTATTGCCTCTAGGATCAAAATCTCCTCTTTTTGGCATTTAAAGGCCTTTCACAATCTTGTCCCTTTCTACCTTTCCAGTTCTCTTACGCTGCATTTCTCTTCTTCCAGGCTTACCTTCCAGCTATATTGCTCTACTTGTTCCTCACAGATGACATTCAATCTCCAGAGTCTGTGTCTTTTGCACTAGCAGTGTTCCCTGGATGCTCTCCCAACTCACCTTTACCTCACTGGGTTCCCTAACTTCTTTCAAGACTGAACTCAAATGCTCTTTCTGGTGGGAAGCCTTTCTTGGTCTCCCTCTTCACCTTCCATTTCTGAGAGTACCTACTATTTATACAGTAGATATCTTGAATATACATAGTTATTTGCAGGTTATCCCCCATTACAAAGGAACGCCTTGGTGGTAAGGGTTGTTGTGTTTCTATTTGTATCCTCAGCATTTGCACAGTGCCAGCTACTTAGGAGGTGCTTAATAAATGCTTGTTGACTAACTGAATGGATAAAAAGCAAAGTAAACAGGAGATAAAAATATACATGATCACAATAATGTATAAGAAAACAGTACATCAGAACTCATTATCAGTGCAATAGTCTTAAGAGGACCATAGGATCATAGATGTACAACTTGAAAAGAACTTAAGGGTCAATCAATCCAATTCATTCATTTTATAGAACCAGAGAGATAAAGTGATTTGCTTTAGGGCATAGAGATAATAAGTGGCAGAGCCAGGTCTTTGACCCAGGTCTACTGACTTCAAAGCAATACTTCTTTCCCCTCACTATACCATAGGCAATAATTAAATATGTCTCATTCTTCTCAGTATACAGTTGATAGACTATAGGTATAAAATAAAGCACAAAAATCAGGCATGATCTATTTTATTTAATTGTATACCTTTTTTTTAAATGGAGGGATTCTCACAGTAGTAATGATAAAAAATTTTTTAAGTGTCAATAAATAAAACTTTTTAATAAATAATTTGGGTAGAATGCTATAAATTTAATTAACTAGCTATAACTGAAGGAGAAAAAAGAAGGAAAAATATGTGCAAAGTAGAATCCATCAAGAACCGCAAATAAAAGAAGAGTAGCAGTATGACACTGAATGATTTCTCCAGAAACAAAAATAAACCAGTAATTTGCCTAAGACGTTAACAGATATGTCGTAATTTGCCTCGGATATTAAAAACAAAACCAAATTTAAAAACCCTCCCCATATCTCTCTCTGAGTACAGGTAACAAGCAAGTAATCTATAGTCCTTAGAAACAAAGCAAATTTGACCTGAGTCAATAAACTGAGACCCATAACCAGAATATGGCTCTAGAAAAACCCCCTTTAAAACTGGGAAAGGGGAGTGGGGTAGGTAGCGTAGGAAGGAAACATGCTGGAGAGCATTTGGGTAAAGATTAACCAAGGGATAAAAGGAAAGGCTGTTGTTGTGAGAGTGTACTACAAATGATGTTTAGAAAAGCAGACTCTTACTTTCTCCAACCAATTTGAGATTTGGTAAGGAAGTCATTTCCCTCCACCCCCAGCCATTTAAATATCCAACTCTTAAACCTACTGACACAAAAGCCACATAGGCTCAGGACAATTATTTGCATATTTAATTTGTGGACTTCATTCTTATCATTGTATTATCCTTTACTATGTTGTTTAAGTGAACAAATAATATGTCCTAACATGAACACATGAGTTCATGTCATCTGTTTAAGAATTATAACCACCTTCCTCCTATTGGTTCTAATTTTTACTTACAACATCACTAATGTGAAACTGTGTTTAATAGGAATGTTTATGTATAGCCTATAACAGCCTGCGTGCCGTCTTGGGGAGGGTGATGGGGAGGAAGGAGGAAAAACAATTTAAACTCAAAAGCATATGGAAGTGATTGTCGATAAATCAAAATAAATTAATAAAAAAAAAGAATTATAACCACCAAGTAGAAAGGCATTGTATCTATATTAAAATGGTGTTCAACATTTTAACTTCATCAAATTTGATAATTTAATCATCATCAAACATTTTATAAAAGTCTACAATGTATAGGACACAAAGTCAATGCTGGAGCAAAGAAATACTACAAGTCCTTCCTCTTCCCACCCCCCCATTAAGAACTTAGAGTCTAACTGAGGAGAGAGATGGAACACACAAAGGATCAACAACTCCCCTGTACCATTCTGAGGTACTAAATGAGCGGTGTTAAGAGCAAGTGCTAATTAAGGAAAGCAACATAAAAGGGGTGTAGACTCTAGTTCAGTGAAGTATAGGATTTAGATAAGCAAAAAGGAAAGGACATTCCAGGGAAGGGAAACAAAAACTTCCACATCACAGTAAATATCCTTACCTGTAGTAATCGGGGGCCAAATACAAGACTGGCAGCATCCAGTATTTTTTTTTTTAATCTTTTCATTTCGAATTTTACTTGAGTTTTAATTTCAGAGTTTCTTTCAGTGGGTAACTTATGGTTTTGCTTTATATTCATTTCTCCCTCTATTTATTTATTTACTACTTTTTTTGTGAGGCAATTGGGGTTAAGTGACTTGCCCAGGGTCACACAGCTAGTGAGTGTTTTATGTCTGAGGCCGGATTTGAATTCAGGTCCTCCTGACTCTAGGGCCGGTGCTCTATCCACTGCGACACCTAGCTTCCCCACTCCCTCTATTTTTAATAGCCTGTGAGGCTTCTGAAGGGGAATGAGAGAAAAAAACTGCAGTTTTTTGATAGTTGGATGATCTGTAGATGAAAACTGACTTGATTTCCAGGTCAACTGTTTTTACAGGAAATACAATGATGTTTTCTTCCATTTTTTCAGTATTGTTTTAATATCAGGAAGTTATCTGGTGCAGTGGACAGAGCACTGGCCCTTGGGTCAGGAAGACCTGAGTTATTTGCAAACTTAAAGTGCTTTATAAGGTTTATTATTGATAATATTAATTTTTCATGTTGCCTCATGTAAGTCATTTATTTGTTCTATTATAATTTTCTAGAAGTCCTATTTTCCAAATTGTACCTTTTAGAATTCTCCTATCATATGTATTTTTTAAAAATCTGTTTAATCTCTTTCAGGAATTCCATAGCTTTATCAAAGGCTCTGCCCAACCATCCCTGCTGTGAAGTTACTTTGTTTCCTCTAGACTTGTGTTTGGGACAACTCTTGATCCATAACATTTCTTTATCATTGGTAACTGTTTTTTTGTTTAAGTTTTTAAACTGTATTTACTAAACTGGGACTTTTGTTAGGGCCAAACTCTTTACCACCTCTCTACACTTGGATGGGGTGGTATGGGTTCTGTTTGGTCCCTATGCATACTGCTTTCTCTAATTCTTCTGGTGCCTGCTGTATACTGGGGCAGCTAAGTGGTGCAGTGGATAGAGCGCCAGGCCTGGTTGTCAGGAGGCCCTGAGTTTAAATCCTGCCTCAGACACTTACTAACAGTGTGACCTTGGGCAAGTCCCTTAATCTTCGTTTCCTCATCTGCAAAATGAGCCAGAGAAGGAAATGGCAAAGCACTCCAGTATCTTTGCCGAGAAAACCCCAAATGGGGTCATGAAGAGTGGGACAAGACTGAAAATACGACTGAATAACAAGTTATATACCAGCAGTGTGGGCAGATTTCAGGCTGGCCCCTGTCCTCCAGGTACAGAGCTCTGTGTTTTTCAAGAGTGATTCAGGTCAGTGGCTACAAATTTTCAGATGCTATAGGGCATATGGACAAAATACCATACATTTGGTTGAAACTTTTTCAGAGGATGCTTAGGTCTCCCAATTAGAGTACTCCAAGTCTTCTTGTCACAACTCCAAGGCATGCTTGATTTTACTGGGGATTCCTGGCTGAAGCACTCTTAGGCTGTGGGAGCAGGCTCCTCATTTTGGGCTTTCCTTCTTAGTGCCTATGAGCTTCTGTCCCTTTTTGTTGCCCTAGATGGGTGAACATGGTATTCACTGTAGTTTCTGTATTTCTTAATCTCTATTCAATCTGGTACTCTTTTATCTTTTCTGGAGTACATGTGTGGGAATCTGGCTGTTCTGCTACTGTTCACTTTGCTATCTTGACTATAAGTTCTTTCCTCTTGTTTCTTAAGGAAATATCAAGCTCGTTTGCCTCATATTACTTCCCTCTCTTCTCTACTTGCCAAAATGGTATTCAGTGTAAGCCTGAAAATGCCATATGCTTTTTATCTCTGTGCCTTTGCTCCCAGCTATTCCCTATGTCAAGAATTTACTCCTGCCTCTTCTTAGCTTATCGAATTTCCAAAAGCCCTCAAATGCACTAAGGAGTTAGAATGAAAGCATTGAATCTGTTCTTTAATTATAAAACCACTAATAATCGTATATTTAAGGTGGAATATTTGAGTAAACAAATGGGTAGTGAGTCTTCTAACTAGGGAAATGTGCTAGTACTATAAAAAGCAAGCCCTCTCTCTAGAATTTTGACCTTGCCTATACCCACAGTAGCTGGCTGACCAGACATCACAGCTCCAAAAACAAAGCTACTCAATTGGTATTTATTAAAAGGTTTCTTATCAACAAGAACCCCTACAGAGTGCAAGATAGAGTCAAACATTTCTAATAAATATGGCGAAAAGCAATGGCAGCCTTTCTCGAAGTATGCCGTCTGGCTCTTATAATGGGTATCTGGCACCTATAGGTCTGTACAGGATATCAGGGACGGTGAACACACACCTGACCCAACGCAGTCAAGACACAGCCAAGACACAGCATGTAGTGGAAGAGATAATTACACAGTTCTAGAGAAATACGTCTATTTCAGATGTGGCAACTGACACAAGAGTTTCAGCAGCATTCATCCCTCTGGCAAATACGACCAATCTATTAAATATTTAAAACCTATTTTGGCATGATTTTCACATCACTAATGTTTCAGAGCTCATGTTTAAGGATATCCTTACACTTTTATCTTTTTCTCTTTATAGGTTTTGCTCAAGTTGCCAGAAGAGTCTATAGCTTTCTAGGTACAAAGCTGGCTCTATCTGATTGACTTAAGAGATTACAGAAAAAGTCAAAGCAAGAAATGAAATAAACCAAGCCATATATTCCTGGGAAGAAAAGAGACATGAGTAGGAGGAAAATGTGGCTTTTTTACTTTGGCAATATTTCAGCCTACAGAAGTACATTTAACAATCAAATTCCTTTTGATGGGGAAAAGCACAACTAGAAATAAACATGGAGATTTCACTCAACCTATGTGAGCCTCAGTTTCCTTGCCTGTAAAATCAATGGGTCCTTTCTAGCTCTACTCTTAGGATTAGGATGCTATGTCTTTATTGCCGAATAGGCATTATGGTACAATGGAGAGAACACTAGCTTTGGTGTCAGAGGACATAGGTTCATATCCCACATCTACAGAGTACTGCTTATTTGACCTTGAGCAAGCTGCTCAACTGGGCTGGGGGGTGGGTCTGAGGTCAATTTCTCTAGCTAAGAGCCTTCCCACTTCATTCAGTGTGTCACTGAATTTGAGTAGAACTGTATATATGTATGCTATTTGTGTAAAATGTGCTACTACAGTGTCAAGCACAAACTAGACGAGCAGTCATTTTTAAGTTCTAGCTTTGCCCCTAGACCTGTGTGACCTGAAGCAAATCAGGTACCATCTCTCTCTTAGCCTCATCAACAAAATGTACTACCTGACTAATAGAGCTGTGCTATGGAAAGAATTACATAAACTGTACACTGTAGAAATGTCAGAACCAACATTATTTTGTTGTTATCCATTAAACTACAAAGAAAATGAAAATTTAAAAAGTCACCAAATGGTAGACAGTCCTTCCTAAAATGTCACGCCCAGAAAAAAACAGAGGCCTTTCTCTTACTGCTAAGGAAAATGTTTATTTTTATACGCAAAATATGTATAAGGATTGTGCAATTTTAAGTTGTGGTGTGATAGATATAAATTTGGCTTGAAGAGATTAGCAAATGTGAATAGCTGGAGAGATGTTTAATAGGCAGAATGGACAAAACTTGGAAACTGAATGGGTGTGGGGGGGGTGAGGGAGAAAGAAGAGTCAAAGATAATTTTGAAGTTACTGGGAGGATAGCAATGTCCTTAGTAGAAACTGGGAAATCTGGAGTACTGGCAGATCTAAAGAAGAAGATATGTTCTGTTTTGAACATGATGAGTTTGAGAAACCTATGTGTTATTCTAGAGATAAGAGATAAGACTGCCGGCAGCTGACTTAAAGTTATAAAAATTAAAGCTGGAAATTGTGTATATTAGAGATATGGATGTATGCACACGCACATACAAATATACACATATAAAACGTGTATATTTACACTGAGATGATTAAACCTACAGGAAGTGATTAGATAGCTAAAAAAATGAATATAAAGGAAGATGTAAAGAGGTACCAGGACAAAACTCTGGGAATCATGGGTGTTAACTGGCAGGAGCTGAATGATAATCCACTTGAGCAAAAGATACGAAAAAGAAGGAGCACAGGGAGAAAAAGAATCAAGAGTAAATAAAGTAAGAAAGCTAGCTAAGGAAATTGAGTGTTGTCAAAAGTATAAAGGCATCAAATTTACCAAAAGCTTCAGAAATGTCAAGGAGGATAAGGACTGAAAAAATGCCAGGGAATTTTTGAGTTAAGAGACTGACCACTGGTTATGATAGAGAGCAGTTTCAGTCTACTGGGGGGTCAGAAGGCAGGAGTCAGTAAGACTAGGTGATTAGTTGATTAGTTCATGGGAGTTTGGTACAGTGCAGAGAAGAAAGCCAAAGGACAAAAGCCTGAGGGAATGCTAGGGTCAAAGAAAAGTTTTTGAAGGATGTAGGACATGGGGACGTGTTTGTAGGCATCAGAGAAACTGCCAGTAGATAAGAAGAGATTAAAGTAGAGATATTGGAATGATAAATGGGGCAAGCTCCAGGAATGCACAGGACAGGTTAAGATGGAGGGCAGAGGGGCTAGCTTTGGTAAGAAGGGCCACTTCTTCCTCAGAAGCAGAAAGGCAAAGAAGATGGATAAAGACATGGAAGGATTAACTCTTGATACAGAGGTGATGGACTCAGGATGCAGACGGAGACATGTTTTTTGGACTTGGCCTGTGCAAAAAATTTGGTTTGCTTGACTATGCATATTTGTTACAGAGATTTTGTTTGTCTTTCTTTTTTTAATGAAAGGGAGAAGAGGTGGAAGGAGAAAAAAAATGAATTTGATTAATTGAAAAAATAAAACAAAACTTTAAAAAATGACATGGAAGGCTGGGATACATGGAATAGGAGAAGAGGTGCTGGATGACTTCTTTTTTCCTAGTAAGGTAGGAAAGCAAGATATCTCTGCTGAGAGACAAGGGCAGGGGAGTTCTAGAGCCTTAAAGAGAGAAAAAAGTGTTGTAGTGTGGTAAAGAGAGCAGTGAACTTTTGAGTCAGAAAAACCCAGGTTCAAATATCACCTCAGATACTTTTTAGCTGCATGAGTCACTTAACATCTCTGTGCCTCATTTTCTTCATCTGTAAAATGAGAGGGTTTGGCTTGATGATCTCTAAAGTTCCTTTTTGCTTCCAGTATGACTTTCTCTAGCACAATTCAGTAGCTCAAGGAGCAGGACTGCAGAAAGTCTGGGGTGGATCCAGCACTGAGGACTGACAGGACATGAAATTAGAGTAAGTCAAGGGTAGAATAGTATATAGGTGAATTAATCAACTGCAGAATCAAGACTGAAGTGAAGAAAATGGCGCAGAAGCAGAGGGTGTGGACAGAGAGAACAAACATGGAAGGAAGGACTAAAGGTAGGAAGGGGGAAGTAGTTTAAGAATTAAATTCCCTTCCTCATATCCTTCTACCACAGAAGGCCATGACTGGAGGCAAAACATTTGAGTAAAAAAATCAAGAGGATAGCATAGTCACAGGCAAAATATCAAGGATATGACCATCTCTGTTAATGACAGATAGGAGTCACAAGTCACAGGATTTGAGGGAGCAATAATAATTGCTTCTTCTCTTTCTTAATATATTATGATTCTGGTGTTTTGTTTTGTTTTTTAATTCACATCATTCTCTGCTAGCCAGTAGGGGTGACCCCAAGATTGAGAGCCTGGACCAAAAACCCTTTTATTTCCTTTTTCAAGAAAACAGAGAAATCAGCTTATAAAAGGACTACCAAAACACAAAGGAATTCATTATCCTAAGGACAAAAGAAGAGCTACAGGTTGAAATATTTAAAATGAACTAAAAGGAAAGAAAATCTAGAAGGGTTTGAAATGAAAGCAGTAAATTATACTAAGTAAGTGATAAATGGCACAAAATTTTGAATGTAGGAATTTCTGAAATGATGATTTTCATCCTCTAACTACAAATAGTACTCGGAATGCCTATTTCTTCTATAATACTTCTCACTAGGCCCAATATTTCTCTACAATGAAGCACAGAAATAGATGATTCAGATACCTGCTACATTATCAGTTTCTTCCTCCTATTCACGTTTTCCCACTAAGTAAAACAGAATTGAGAAAAGAATGTGAGAAAAAGTATATACACTGAAAAATTATCAGTATGCTTCAGAAAAGAATTTCCTTTTAGGTATCTTTAGGTCTCTGTTTCTAAAACTTTTTGGTCACAGGATCTGTTTACACACTTAGAAACTACTGAGGACATTTTCCCCCAAAATCTTTTTATGTGAGTTATTATCAATATTTACTATCTTAAAATTAAATCATCTTAGTATTATTATGAAAATAGTTTTGACCTTACAGATCTTCTGTGCTTCTTTCTGTGACAGTAATGAAATGTAAACAAAGCAGATACCCCTAAATTGCACAATGCTTAAACAAACTGTGGTACATAAATGTAATAGGCTTTTTCTGTGCTATAGAAAACGATGAACATGATAAATACAAAGAAGTACACCAAGATCAATATGAAGTGATGAAGAGTGAAGAAAAAACAAGAAAACAATATATACAATGATTACAACAATATAAATAGGAACCCATACAAATCAAAAGGCTATAAAATTATAAAGAACAAGCAGGAGATAATCTCTACAAATGCACACTGCATATATTTCAGACTTTTCCCAATGTAATAATGTTTGCTGATATTTCCCCCCTTCTGTTTTATTTTTTATTTCATTTTTAAAAATATATAATTTTTAAAAAAAAGAATGATCAAATGAATGAATGAATAAGGGAATATATGAGAAAGTGCTATATCACTGTAGTGTAGCTAAGCCCACTGACTTACTGTTAGACAAAAATCTTGTCTGGGGCCAAAGGGACAAAGGGACTTCTTGATCAAGTTTTTTTTTTTTAAATCTACTTGTGCTTAATCACTAGGGTTTACTTTTTGCTAAACAAACCCTGAAAGCTACTTAATTGGATAGAGCACATTCAATCTCTGGCCCCTCAATATACATATACATACATATACATACATATATATATATATAAACTTTAATAGGAATGTTACAAGATTCTGTAAAAATAAGAAAATCTTAAAATTAAATGCGCAGCATCTTGGTGTAGTGAAAACATCACTGGATCAGGCGCCAAGACCTGAATTTCAGTTCCAGATTTACCACTGAATTATCTAATTTGTTTGGGTTTCTAGTCTGCAGAATGGGAATAGTAATATCATACAGTTATCTTGAATCAAATGAGAAAATATATGCAATGAAACTTTATAAACTGAAACAATATGCCAATATAAAAGGATTATATTTATCCACCATCAGATAGCCTGAAGCAAATATGTAATATATAAAAATAAGTTGTGCTTGCTCAATATGGACATATTTTAACTCCTTGGATGGTAAGGCTCTGCTGCAAAGGTTGATATTAAACTGATGTCTATAAATGTTGCCTTGTTCCTAATCCGTCTTATTTTAGAAGCAAAGTTAAACTTGGAGTTCAAAGTATCGTATCTTAAAGCTCTGTGTTAAAACATATTTCTTTTTCATGGAATTCTTTGCCCCCTGAGTTGAAACTTTAAATGATATCTATCATTATGGTTTGTATTAAATAGAATTTGTTTACAGTCAAACGCCAGGTTCAAAGAATATAATGATTCTTCTAAACCTTACCACTGGGTGGTCAATGCAAGTGGAGCAGATGTTTTCGAGGCACTTGTTGATCATAAACAAGCTCAATTTGTGCTCCTAACAAAACAATAGAAAGCAGCATGGCATAATGAATAATGAGC